ACTGGAAGGGGCAGCCCAAGGAGGTGGTAGAGTCTCCAACCCTGGAGGGGTTCAATGTGGCACTTGGGGACGTGGTTTAGTGGCCATGGTGGGGTTGGGTTGAGGTTGGACTCCATGATCTTTGAGGTCTCTTCCAACCTTGATGATTCTGCAAGGTGCAGTCCTGGTCCCTTCCCACAATTCCCCAATCCAGGACCGGGCTCACCTCTGTCCCTGCTCTCCCCAGGGGCAGGACTCAGAAACGCCTGCCCTGAGCCCAGGCACAGAGGATTTCACCCCGCGGTGATGCTCCTTCTCCACTTCTCCCAGTAGAACTGTTAATAATTTGCTTAATTTAATTGAATTAACTCGTGTTTCTATGATAAATCACTGCCTGACTCCATTTACAATTCAAATTGAGGGTCAAGATCTTTGCATTGACCACAAAGACACACACAGGAGGCTTACAGAGAGGAGGGGAGCCCAACACCAGACTTTGGATCATTGGGCCCCTTTTACACTTTGGAAGAAGGTTTCACCACCTCTTTTGGGGACTTGAGAAAACCCCAGGGGGCCAAGAGCTGCACCAGGAAACGAGCTGCTTTCAGGCATGGTTCAGAGCTGCAGACAGGAGGGTAAAAGTGATGGTGTCCCATGGCAGCATCGCAGAACCAAGAGCGAAAGGGGCTGAGCTGGGCACAGCATCAGGGCAGAGGGTTCATTCTTAATCATCACCCCCAAATTCACAGAATCCCAGAACGTTAGGGATTGGAAGGGACCTCAAAAGCTCATCCAATCCAATCCCCCTGCCGGAGCAGGAACACCCAGATGAGGTTACACAGGAAGGCGTCCAGGCGGGTTTTGAATGTCTGCAGAGAAGGAGACTCCACAACCTCTCTGGGCAGCCTGGGCCAGGGCTCTGTCACCCTCACTGAGAAGAAGTTTCTTCTCCAATTGAAGTGGAACCTCCTGTGTTCCAGTTTGTGTCCGTTACCTCTTGTCCTATCATTGTTTGTCACCGAGAAGAGCCTGGCTCCATCCTCGTGACACTCACCCTTTAAATATTTATAAACATGAATGAGGTGTCCCCTCAGTCTCCTCTTCTGCAAACTAAAGAGATCCAGCTCCCTCAGCCTTTCCGCATAAGGAAGATGCTCCACTCCCTTAATCATCTTTGTAGCCTTCTTGGGACTATGCCCCAGTCTCAGAGCTGCAAGAGGCTCTGCAGCTCACAGTCTCCTTTATCTTGGAAGAGGAGAGTGCACAGATAGGCCCTTGGAAAGCTGGAGGGGGTCAATGAGGGGGACACAAACTGAGAGGAGCAGAGCACAGAGCAGCTCAATGCAGGGCAGGAACAAGCCCGGGCAGGAGGATTACAGCACCCGCTCAGTCCCCATCTCCAGCTGCGATCCCAAGACCAAATTTATTTAAGCTCCTTAGCTATTCAAATCCTTCTCACGCAGAAGCCTCATTACACTAATTGGAAAGACAAGACAACCTGGCTATTAGTTCTTGGCTGTAATTACAGTTCCAGCTCGGCTCCGGAGGCTCCACACATTAGAGCTGGGGCACCCAGGGGACAGGGAGGGTGTACGCGTGTGGCAGCTCTGCCCGGGACATCGAGTCCCTTGTCCTCATTCCTCAGCAGCTTTTAATGGGACTCGGTCTCCTCTCAGTTTGTTTTAGACGAAACAAAACTCAGGGAGTCAGCAGAGCCAACACAAAGCAATGGGAGCACATGGGTGCCTGGATCTCTACGTAGCCCTTGTAGCAGCGGGAAGGCATCGATTGCAGTGGCAATGTCCCCTCTTTCCCCAGCAGGGACGTCGTCCTCCATCCTGGCTCTCTCAGTCACTCCAGTGCAGTGCTTTAGTCAGGTCACAGATTGAACCCATCAGCCACGTAAAAACCATCAGCAGTTTAACTTCTCAAACTCAGAATCTCAAATTAAGGACTCCTGCCCAAGGTCTTGCATCTGGGAATACACCAGAATGCAGTTGAGACTGGGTACCTGGCTGGAGAGCAGCTCCGTGCAAAGGGACCTGGGGGTCCTGGTGGATGAGGAGCTCAACATGAGGAACAGTGCCGCAGTGTAAAGAAACCAACAGGATGCTGGGCTGCATTGAAAAGGGCATCACCAGCAGAAACAAAGAAGTCGTTATCCCTCTCAGACTACACCTCGAGTACAGCGTTCAATTTTGGTTCCCTTTATACAAAAAAGATGGGGACAGGTTGGAAAGGGTCCAGAGAAGGGCAATGAGGATGCTCAAGACCTGCCCTATGAAGAAAGGCTGAGAAAACTGGATTTATTCAGCCTTGAGAAGGAATAGGGAGACCTTATCAGCATGGATAGGACATAAAGGGTGGCACCAAGAGGATGGAGACTCCCTTTAACAAGGAGTCACAGGGAAAAGATGAGGGGTAATGGACACAAGTTGTGTCTGGAGAGATCCTGATTGAACTCCAGAAGTCAATTTTTTTTACCATGAGATCAGTGAGAGACTGGGACAATCCACCAGTGAGAGACTGGGACAATCTCCCAGGGGAAGCGGTGAATTCCCCTACATCGCTCAGTTTCAGGACTTAGTTTGACAGGGTGCTGACCCATCTCATTTAAACAATACTTTTACCTCGAGAGGTTGGACCAGATGATCCTTGAGGTCTCTTCCAACCTGGGATTTCATGACTCTACGATCAAGGAAGTCAGCTCAAGTTTTGCACGGTCACAGACAGCACGAGGAGAGCTTGGTGCTCCCATTACTCTCACTGACATTCTGCTTTTTAGCTCCAAACAGCAGAGCCTGCAGTCAGAGCACCACAACCAAGCCCAAAGCCCACATCCCACATCCACCTACCACGACCATCCCGTAGTGGATGTGCGCCAGGGTGAGGAAAGCCGTTAACAAGTAGAGGAGAAGAGTTTCGCTGCTCGGCGCCAGCCCGGCCATCACCACGAAGAGCACGGCAGCTATGGGGAGCAGCATCCAGTTCAGAGGCTGGCAGCGTGTGCTGCTCATCTGACAGACGATCAGTTGGCACTGCGGGAGGAGAGAAAGCCATCAGAGTTTGCACCCAGCATCAACTCTGCAAGCCCAGAGCTGTACCAATCCTCTGCCCTTACAGCTACCATCATGCAGTTTCCATGAGTTTCTCACTCAGGATCTTTCTTTGCATTCAAATTCCTGTGGGATACAGAGCAAAGCCTCATGGGGCAGGAAGGTAACAGGGAAACGAGCATCAGGGGCATCTTTAAAAGAAAAAGGAGCTCCCTTGAGCTGACCTGAGCGTTTAAGTTTATCCCCCCAAAACAGGAACTCCTTTCATATCAGCAGTTTGCTGTTCACAACACAGGGGATGGGCCACAAAGATGATCCAAGGGCTGGAGCAGCTCTGCTATGGGGACAGCTGAGAGAGTTGGGGTTGTTCAGCCTGGAGAAGGCTGCAGGGGGACCTTATAGCGACCTTCCAGGACCTGAAAGGTGCCTATAAGAAATCTGGGAAGAGCTGTTCACTGGAGCATGGGGCAATAGGATGAGGGGTGATGGTTTTAAACTGGAAAAGGGCAGATTTAGGTTGGATATGAGGAAAAAGCTCTTCCCCATGAGGTGGTCGATCACTGCACAGGTTGCCCAGAGAGGTGGTAGAGGTCCCATCCCCGGAGATATTCAAGGTGTTCATGGGGTCTGAGCACCCTGTTCTGGTACCAATATCCCTGCTGACTGCAGGGTTGGGCTGGATGAGCTGTAAAGATCCCTTCCAACTCAACACTTTCTGATTCTATGATGCATGCATGTGTGTATACACTCAATTTAACTCTAGTTTCTCAAGAGTGAGAGCTACAGCACAAAATTCACTGACTCCAAACCCTGTTTGTTCCTTCAATCATACCAAAACAGGAAAACTGGGAAGTTAACCATCACATCTCCCTTCTGTCCTCACATTGGAGCTGCTCTTTTCCTGCCTCCCAAGCGTCCCGGCAGGGTTCAGGCTCCCCAGGGGATAAACTGGAGCATAAAGCAAAAGCTGCTTACAGAAATGTTAGCGAAGGCCGTTCCAACCATGAAATAGAAGAGCCTGGGATGGACCTCCAGGATGTCTGATGGGGACACGAAGATCCACGCGGTGCAGAGCAGGAAGAGCAGCACCGGGGACACCAGGGGCAGCATGATTTCGTACACAGAGTGGTGCTTCAAGGAGTTGTTTTTATAGGCCCTGAAATGCAAAGAAATGAAAATACTTAGAACCACAGATCAGAAATACCTGGGTGCTGCCTTCAGGAGAGGGCTGCAAAATCTCATTGGCCATTGCTACCCAAAACTGCCGATATCTGTCATAACCACGGCCAGAGAAGGAAGATGCACACCTTTATTAACCCAAAAACCTCCTGAATTACAGGAGTAACTGTGCAGCTCTCTGGGTTGTGACCAACAGGACAAACCTACAAAAACTGGGGGTCTTTTTTCTAAGAACCCCACTGAGCAGGCTCCCAGCCCAGTCCTCCCAGTGCACCCCACAAACTGGGACCTTCTGAAACTAAGGAAATCAAATCCTAAGAGGCTCTGGGGGCTCTTGCAAAGGTGGCAGCGCAAGGGAGGGTGATTTGAGGGCGCAGAAACTCACTTGTAGAAGTTGTAGAGGCTCATGGGCAGCGTGACGGTGAGGGCGCAGGCTGGAAAAGAAAGAGCCACGTTACTGCCCTGGAACAGAGGGAGACCACCCCGTGCTCCCCATCACTGTGCTCTACTTTAAGCTCCTTGCAATGAAACCAGCTCAGAGACGCATCAAGAACAGCGCAGCGCATGTAAAGAGCTGCTTCCAGAGCTGTAATTACAAAGCTTGCTCTAAATTAAAGGTGTTTCGATGTTTAAAAGTTGCATTAAGGAGCCCAGGATTCGCTTTAAACAGTTACGAAGTTTAATTATAATGCTGTGCTTAATGAGAAAGGAGGCGGGTTCGAGCTCCACAAGTGACGTGGCTGCGCACAACAGTTTTCAGCCTTCCTAATAAAGCCAGTTTCCCATTTCTCCCACTGTGAGCAAGCATTTTGAGTTCCCACCGTGCAAAAAACTTCCTGGCATTTCACTTCACAAACGACAGAAAGGGTCTCAATAACTCTGAGTAATATTTAGACCTCGATAGGGAACACCATCCCCTACATAAAACACCCTACGAGTCCATCCCAACTCTTTCTGTGTCGATATAGCAGGAGGTATTTTAGCTGAGCTGTAAATATCCCTGCTTTTAATAACCTCGTTGCTATCCAAGTGCACAAATCCAGCCCATGCAGGCGTTGCACGCCGTTTTTCATACAGCAAAAGTGCATTTATTATTCATATAATAAAAGGCTACCATAAGAAAGCTCAGAATATCGACCTAGGAGAAGTGCAAGCATTAGAGTTAACACAACAGTTCAAGACACATCGACCTGAAATTAAACAGTTGCGATTAAAGCCTAAAAGAGAGGGACGCAGACTATGAAAAATTAAACCGAGCAACTCATGAATAAGCCAAATTTCATTAAGCCAAGACAGCTCTCCCCAGCTAAGCTTTGCCTGCATTACTCTCTGCTTTGCAGTGGCTTGTTCTGGCTGACCACAGGAGAGAGAGGCTGGGTGTTTAGTTAATTTTATTTCATTTTTAATGTAATTTTTCCACGTGTGGATGGAGGGCAGGACCCTCAAGCAGCAGAGTGCTTTTCCCCACCTCTGTGGCTGTAACCTCCCTCCTGCAGCAGCCCCAGGGTTGATTCCCCCCCAAGCATCCACACGCGCCTGTACCCTCAGGGTCAGCACAAAATAGCTCTGAATTTAATACCTGCAGGCTGCAAGAGCAACCCTCAATTAGAGTCACTTCAGTAAGAGCCCACAGGAGCTTTCATCACAGCAAACAGAACAGCGTTATCACGTAATTAAGACATTGGGTTTCATTAAAAAGGTGGAGTTTAAAAGACAGGCTTCAACATGGAGTTTCTTACCAATAATCATTGCAGTGAATAGGTCTCTATATAAGAAATTAAACAGGAAAGGTGCATACCAGGCCTCAACTCCCACAATGGCTGTCACTATGTAGACAATTGAAATGGTCTGAAAGAAAGAAGCACAGGACAAGAAGGGGTGAGCAACCGGAGAGGCCAGCGCAGCTTTGGGGCAAGGAGGCTTTGAGCTACATCACGTTGAGTTCAGGAAGAAGAATTTTTATATATGTCCCATTTTACAAGATCAGGTAAGTATAGTGGCTGAGGTGCTGAGTAGAATAGAACCAGGAGCTGCTCCTCGCAGCAGGAACAGAGCTGCCCTGGTACAGCTTGAACCCACGAGATGCCTGAAGCACAAGAAAGACGTTGCAGTGACCCTGGAGGATTCATCTGGGGACTCTTTCTTATCCATCTGCTGAAGCAACCACAGGGAAAAAGCTAAGAAGGGATATTTCAGTTTTATAGTAACGCTGCAGCTGGGTAAAGCACCTTGCAGGGCAGCTTAGCCCTGCACCTTTCTGCAGCAGGCAGAGATCCAGTTGTGAGCAGTCACAAGGGGTGTTC